CCGAAAACACTGACACAATTTATATTAAAAGTGGAAGAAGCACAAAATATTGTATCTTCTCTAACACCTCCTTTAACAAACATACAAAAATCTATGTTCTTTAAACACATTAAAAACAAATTAACAGACAGAGCGAACGAAGCCCTAAGGAACGTACAATTTGCAAACTGGGATGAGTTGAAGCAGTTTCTAATCAAAGAGTTTGGTGATAGGAAAGGACCGGCCAGCATTATCCTAGAAATAATGCAGATCGAAATAAAAAACCCTTTCAGATCACTAAATTTAATAAAAGAAAAGTTTGACTCGTTCAGAGCAAAAATACTTACGGAAAAGGGATCAGATGAACAAAAAGCATACTTGATAGAATTTCAAGAAAAAATTATAGCTACAAATTTCGTCTGTTCATTAAAAGACCCCTTGCGTAATAATCTAGCGACTAGAAACACACAGTCATTAACGGACATGGAAAAATTATTATTAAACGACATTCAGTACTTGCGCGAAAACAACAAAGACACGTCGCAAAAATTTCGACCACCATTTAATAAAGGGACACTTCTTTCTTTCCAAAGAATTTCAAACCTAACTTCCCCCAAACCAATTTTTTTAAACCACCAAATCAATACAAACAAAATCAAAACTTTGCTAAACAGAACACTTATACACCAACACCAATGAGTATTTCTACTAGAAATAGTAATCAAACGAACAATCATCCACAACTGCATGTGTTTCAGATGGAAACACAGGAACAGGAACCACATAGTCAAATAGAATCCACTCAGAATCATTTTTTACGGATTACTCAGTTAGGAACAAATTTCAAATAATGAACTTACAATCTTCGGACAACGAACTACCATAGATTTATAGATCCAGAGACGAAAGCTAGAATATTAATTGACACGGGAAGCACGCGTTCGTTTATAAGAAAATTTATCGGTTTTGAATTCTGTAAAAATAATATAAAAAAGGATCCTTTCGAAGTGACCACTGCACATTGGAACTTCAAAGGAATGCTATAGTACCGAACTATCCATCTTAAATAACAAAAATAAAATAAAATTTTTTTTGTTTGATTTACTTCTGGGATTAGACAACATTAAGAAATTGAACATACAATTAGATTTTAATTCTAACAAGCTTTATTTTAAAGGAACACACATTCCTATATTGTATTTTGATAGGCATAGTTAAGAGAAGCCTCCAACAGGGAGTACACCGGTTGGATCTCAGGTGACTAGTTACGTTCTGGAGCCCAGAAGCGAAAAAACTGTAAAAATAAAAGTAAAAAACATTAAAGATGGAGAAGGTGTATTAAATTATCATAACGTAGCTGGAATAGAAATCCCGCAATGCTTAGTAAAAATTAAAAATAATGAAGCGTTTTGTAAAATGTACAATCCAAACGATAGTAGCATTAAATTAACAATAACACAACCATTCGTGGTAAATAATCTAGAAGATTACGAAATTAAATACAAAACAGGAAAAGAGAACAAGGTAGCTGATGCTCTTTCGAGAATAGAATTGAATGTACATGAAACCGGTGACGAAGTAATAGACGAATTAATTAGAGACTTTTATTTACAAAATCCAGATCTCGAACCCGATAGATTACATTTTGAAAACGAATCTAATGTAAATCTAGAAAATGAATCCATCATCGTCAATGTAGATGAACTTGATGGAAATGTAGATGAAAACATCGATGATGACGATGCGACGGTACATTACAACGGAATTGGAAATACTGTTACGAATATACTGATTATTGAGGGTCCGGTTAATTTCGGTAAAAATCAAATAATAATTTCAGAAGTCGAATTTAATAAGGAAAAACCAAAATTATTAAGTTGTTAGGGAATTCAAAAACAAGAATAAGCGTCCAATTTTCAAAGAACGATTTTACTAATGACGTTATTAAATTTATAAAAGAATTCATCGTGCCTAAAACAGCATATCACTTGTATTTCGAGTCATATTTATACGAAAAATTTGCGAAAGTAATAATGGAGGTATTCACTTATTCAGAACTAAAGTTTTTTAAATGTACAGAAAAACGTATCGATGTTTTAGAGGAATCTGATATCAATGAAATTATAGAGAAATATCATATTTCAAAAACAAATCATAGGGGCATCACGGAAACGGAAAGTAGAATTAAACGTATATATTATTGGCCTAATATTAGTAAGTCTGCACAGGAATTTATTAATAGATGTGAATTATGTCTTTTAACGAAATACAATAGACAACCCATGAATTTAAAGTAAATTTGACTCCGACACCAAGCAGACCTTTTGAGATTGTTCATATTGACACAATTACGCTAGAGAATAAAAAGTTTTTAACAATAATAGACACTTTTTCTAAATTTGCTCAAGCCTACAAAATAGAGTTTATCAAGCAATCGAAATAGTGAATAAATAAATAAAAATTTTTGCATCTTACAATGTTCCAAAGACTATTGTGTCTGATAACGGGCTGGAATTTAACAACAGTCTAGTCAGGGAATTACTATCGCTACATAGAGTCGAGTTGCATTTCACATCTTCTCAACACCCGGAATCAAACGGCTCTATAGAAAGATTTCATTCCACCCTCATCGAGCATATCCGACTTTTTAATAATCAACAAGAATTCATGCACGAAGATATCGAAAACAAAGTAAATTATAGTTAATTAAGGTTTTTAGTTGAGATGAAAACTCATAAGGTGGGGTTGAGATAGGAAGTTGATGTCCGAGTGGATCGAGGTCAGGATAGCTCAAGTGGTAGAGCAGCGGCGTATCTAGCCGGTCGTGGGTTCGAATCCCTCTCGTGCCATTAGCTTTTTTTCATCTCAACTAAAAACCTTAATTAATTGTAATGATTTAATTGGTCAAGCGGACTACGAGATTAGTGAATTTAAAGTAAATTATAGTATTTTGGCATATAATCACTCGCTTCACTCAGCAACAAAATTAAAACCTATTAAAATTATCAGTGGGCATTTACAGAACGAATCTATTTTTAATATCAATTTAAAACAACAAATTTTAAATAACTATGTCAGAAATCATAAAAAGAAAATAGATTTGTTATATAAAACGATCAATGAAACTTCTTTAGCGCATAAAGAACATATTATCGAAAAACGAAATGAAAACAGAATAGAAATACCAGAAGTAAATATACCGAACGAAGTTTTTGTGAAAGTCAGGCAAAAACAAAGCAAAACAAAGAATAAATACAAAAAGGAAAAAATAAAATCGGTAAATAAGAATCTAAAAACTGCCGAAATCATCCCAAGTCATCACAACACAATAGACAAAATACACATATCAAACATTAAAAGATCAAGAAAATTAAGAAAATTCTCGCGACATTCCAGGTTCTTCGCACTCCTCTTTTGGACCACAACCAGAGGAATCGACATAGTTGATATTTGTGTAGAGATTAGTGACCGTTAATCGATAGTTATTCAGATATCGTGAGATGCGGTCGGGTGTGATGTAGGTTTCAGAAAAACATTTTCTTTATCGTGCCAACGTTTCGATCTTTTATTGAGATCATCTTCAGGGCCTGGGATTTACAAACATTGTTTACATTTAACAAATACATTTAGGATGTGGAAAAGTGAATTTATACAATGCAAAATATATTTTTTTATATTCAATCAAAGTATTTCTACTCACTCGAAGTGTTTGTCTTCTGTGTAATTGTGCCATTCTTGCGTGTCGTGTTGAGAGTGCCAGTGAGATTTTGCTGTTTTATGTTTATATACGTTGGATTTTGAAGGGGTGGGGAAGGAAGTCGGTATAGAAAAGACATTTTTGTACAAGGCGTCGGCTTCTTTGAGGTGAAATAATTTTCGCCTTTCAAATGCCACCGATTTTTTTTAATCGCAAAAATTGTGATAACTTTGATAAGACATCACGGATCTACTGGAAAATTTACACGGTTTCAGAATAATACAAAACACACGTAATTGCACAAATCTAGTCTATATAAATAAATGAGAACTGGAGATTGTGACCGAGCGACGTAGCAAAGTGGTTTACAATATTTTTTAGCAAGAAACAATATAATAACATAAAACCCAAGCATTGTTGACACTGGCTAAGTGTAGTAACATTCATCTTTCCAACGGTTGTAATACCTTGGAAACTGGATGAAATCCAGAGTAATTGCATTTTGCATTTTCAAATGGAAAATCGAACATTAAAAAATGAAAATATTGCCTCTAGGTGATCTGGCCCAAAAGTCTGACTTGTGGCAGAAGGGTCATCCTCATCCGATTAACAATAGCCCATGCGAGGTTGACACACAGGCACTTACATTTGGGCCAAAGCCCGCGTATGTGTCCGGCATGCAGAGAAAGGTTGCTCGATGTGCCCCACCTAATTGAAGGGTGCAATTCCTTGGCTCCTACAGAGAGCGCGCAGGAATGCCACCCAATTTGAGAATTGTACTTGAGCACGGCAGCGCGTATTGGATCCCCTATTCCGATTCTTGGAGGAAACGGAGTCGTTCTATTGTATAAAGTAATAACAGTTGTTTATACCTAGTTTGTGTTGAAAGAGAATGCATTTATTAGCGTGAATATGCGATGTGAGAGGGTCGATTACGGAATATCGAGAATATACCCATCGACCCTCTATTAGGTTAGTTGGAAAATATGTGTAACGGGTGATCATCAACATCACCCTAACGAATGGTATGTAACAGTAGTGAAAGTATTTAAGAACGAACGTGAGTACGATTGAGTGGAACTGCATGCGTGAATTGAATTGCCTAGGACTCGAATTGCCGGTGGACTACGAGAAGCGAATAAGCTCAACTCGACACATGTTTGTATGTAAATAAGTGGGGTGGATTTGAACCTATACAAATCCAAATCCAAAAGTCCAAAAGTCTTTTTCTTGTTTTCCTTAAAAATTATATTTCAGGGCTTTAAAGAATGCTTAAAAAGAATCCAATTTTTTTCCATAATATTGTTTAAAAGTTATGACTTACTCGCAGTCTCCTGGTTTTTCACATTTCCCGTGCACTGGATGGCATCCTTCCTTACAAACGGCTAAAAAACAAAAATTATCCATTATTCACGGTTTTATCGGGTTGGAGTGATTTTCTTACCGGTTTCACAGTTGGTCCCTTTCCAGCCGTTGATGCACACCTTGTCGCCATTTGTGTCGCAAGTGTAGTGGCCGAATTTGTCGTCCCTGGGCCGGCAGAGTTTGGTGCAAGTGGCGTTGAAATAATGCTGGTCGCACTGGACACGCACCCTATATATAATGTTCGCTATTTGACCCTGGTGATTCAACGTGTGCCACGTAGGGCTTGGCAAGATGATTCCGGAATATGATGCTTCTTCTATTATCCCTGTCGAATCTATAACAGAAACACAAATATCAGTCGAAAAATTTGAAAACGATACTTCTTCAAATAAAAAAATACAAAAAGATTATTGTGCAATTTTCCTGACTGACTTAAATTGTCAAATGACTGTAATTTTTGACTATTTTTAATTGTATAATCTAGCGGGCTTCTATAAGGGAATATAATGGGTAATTTGTAACCCAAGGAGGTCTAGGAGAGGATTTAGCATGGTGGGAGTGAAGGGTGTCGGCAAATCCCTTATCTTGGGAAGTGGAAACATGGGTAAAGCATTTAAATTAAAATATTTAGATATAATTGGAATAATGGATATTACACCACAAAAAACATCTGAATACGAATTGTTGGTGAAAATCAAAAATGCATCATATTTTCCACCTTATAAATTGCGTTCATTTTCAAAAATTACGAAAATGGTGATTACTTTGAAACAACTGCTCTGATCTAGAGGAAATTCTACGAAGGTTTAAAACTTTATTAACTAACAGGAACACCTAATGCCATAAACTAAGACTCATTAAAAAATTAGAACAATATATCGACTAAGAATAGGCCATGCCATGTGCAACGCATGGTCGCACCGATTTGGATTAATAGATTCGCCAGTGTGGGATAGATGCAAAACAGCGGAAATGATCGATCATGTAATTAGGATAAGTCCTAAAGATGACGAACGAAGGAAAGGAAACTTTAGACATGCTTGTTCGCATAATCCCATGCCCATTTAACTTGAACACCATCATAGGTTCTGGGAACCATGAGGTATTCAGGGTCTTATATAACACAAAAATGCGGACATTCGATTTTAAAGAAAAAAGTATATATACGTATGTGTGTGTATGTAATGTGTATGTATATATGTATTTATATATGTGTATATGTATATAAATGTGAATATGTATGTATTTGTTTGAATATGTATGTGTATGTATATGTATTTATGAATGTATATACGTATATGATAGATATATGTATACATGAGAGTGACACATATAGACTGACTGCGAATTATGGTTAAAATGATTTAACTAAATAATATAAAAAATTAGTTGCTTAATTAATAAACATAAAATAGATCTACGCTAAGTGTATAAAAAAAACAAAAAACGGCAACATAGAAAGAAAATATTGCAGTTAGCTGATTCAGCCCAAAAACCTTTATTTTTGTGTACAATAAAGACTATATTTTATTAATCCATTTTTGCTTAGTCATCCTAATTGACCATATTAATTATTCCAATTAATTATTCTTTTTTACTAAGGTTTTTGGTTAAGATGAAAATTAGTGTCACGAGGGGGATTCGAACCTACAACCTTCGGCTCAGTATGCCGCTGCTCTAACTACTTAAACTATCGTGAAAATTTTAAGTAATTGACTACACATGGCACTAAGTTTTCATCTCAACCAAAAACCTTAGATAAAAAGAATAATTACTTGGAATAATTAATATAAACAATTATGACCACTAAGCAAATATGAAGAAGAAGAAGAAAAATAACTTTATTCAGGGACTGGTGTCCCATAAGAATAATTTACATGAAATAAATGAAGGAAGTTCCTTCTATGAAGTTAAAAGTAAAAAAGATAGAAATCTTGGCACAATGTATACCAGTAAGGCAGGCCAGAAGAGAAAATTACGAGAATATTAAACAAAAATAACAAATGTTAACGTGAGGTCTCTGCTTGGAGGGAGAGGAGGTGATTATACAGGTGGGATTTAAAGGAGGATAAGGAGGCAGCGTGACGAATAGAAAGGGGAAGGTAGTTCCAGAGTTTATGGGCTCGGATCAGAAAGGATCTTTCGATGGTATGGGTTGTATATTGCGGACGGATAAGGTCGATTGGGGATGAGCGGGTCTTACGAGTGAGATGCGAGGAGTTGAATTGGAGGGATTGGATGATGTAAGGAGGACGACAAGTGTGGATGGACTGGAAAAGAAAGCAACCTAAGAAATACTGTGCACGGAAGGAGGGGAATAGCCAGGAAAGTTATACAACACCGACACCCGGGATCCCCGTGGGGTGCCGTACACAAATCTTACGCAACAATTCATAATACGCTTCAATCGCGCGTTCTCCCCATCCGAGAGACCACCGTGTGCCACACAGCTATAATCGAAGAAGGGAAGTATAAGGGAAGATACAAGGAGTTTGGGGGTGGAGAAAGGTAAGAGAAGCCAGGACCAACGAAACAGGCTGAGGGAGGCAATGGACTGGCGGGAAATTTGGGAAATGTGAGAATGCTAGGAAAGGTTTTGGTCAAAGACTACTCCTAGGTTTTTAACCGAAGAGCAGAAGGGGATGGAATGTTTATTTAGCATGAGAGGTGGGATGCTGGGGAGGAAATTGAATAGTTGCCTGGACCCGATAATTATGGCGGTGGATTTGGACGGATTGAGGACTAGGGAATTTTTATGGGCCCATTCGCTGATGGAGTTTAGGTCTTTTTGGATCTTGAGAATGGCCGAGAAAAGATCGGAAGGGTGGAAGGATATGTATATTTGGGAGTCATCGGCATATAGGTGATAGTTACAGGACTGGATGGAGCGGGGTAGGTCATTGATGTAAATGTAAAAAAGGATAGGAGAGATGCTAGAGCCTTGGGGCACCCTAGATTTTAGAGGGAGGAAGGAGGAGGTAAGGCCATTGGGAAGGGTGACAGCTTGGTGGCGATTGGTAAGGTAGGAGTGGAACCGACGGATGGTGCTGGCGGAGAAGGAAAAAGATTCGAGTGTAGAGAGGAGAGAAGAGTGAGGGACAGAATCGAAGGCTTTGAAAAAATCAAGAAGGACACGTATAGTAACTTTCCATTCCTAAATTAAATTGAATATGGATTAATTTAATAATTAAAAAAAGTAATAATCACTATGTAAATAATAACCTCCTCGTCGTTAAGGCCACGTCATAAGTCGCTGAGATTCGAATCCTGATTACACGACATTTGAAAATATAAAAGATGGAAAATTTGGATTAGCATTAAGCATTTTTTATAGATATAAAATATAATCCGATTAATTATTGTTTTTATCTAAGGTTGTAGGTTGAGATGAGAAGTCGGTGTCAGAGGGGATCGAAGTCACGACAGCTTCAGTGGTTAGAGCAGCGACGTATTGAGCCGAAGGTCGTGGGGTCGAATCCTGCTCGTGACACTAATTTTTCATCTCAACCGAAAACCTTGCAAAAAAGAATAATTAAAGGGATTATATTTTTTATCTATAACAAATGCGAATTAGCAAATCCAAATTTTTGGGAAAATCGAACAGTAGTTTGTCCCTCTCAGGTTTTAGCTTTTTTTTCTTGGGAAAAATCACGAATGTAGTAGCAATAACTTTGAAACAACTACATCGATTCACATGAAACTTTACATACGTTTAAAATCCTATACACTGAACGTTATAGCTTAAAATTGGCCTCCTTAAAAAATGAGAACTGAAGATATAAAACAAAACAATATACTTTCATTACTATTTTTCTCATTTATAAAAATTTAAAACCTAAACTTTGCTGACATAGTCTCAAAGAAGAAATATTCATCTTTTATCGGTAGAAATAATGTTGAATTTGGATAGATCCAGAATAATTATGAATTTTAAAATGGAACAACCCTTGGCTGATCAAGCCCAAAAATGTATATTTTTGTTTGCTGCAAAAATGCGTATTTAAGGGTGTTAAACGGTTCTTAAAATGAATCCGCACATGCTTTTATAAATACTTTTCTGCCTACTTCACTCAGAGCGTATTTTGGTTTTTGTAACTTTTTATATATCTAATATAAAAGATTTTATATATCTATATCTAATCTCATTTCATCACAAAACAGTTAAAACTATTCTACAGATCCACAGGAAACTTTGAAATCCATTACAAACTACATTAATAACACTAACTTAATCTACATATATAAATTAAAACCTAATATAAAAAAAAAATGTTTCGCGTGCTTTTGCCGATTTCAGTCTTATTTTTCTTACTTACAATGGAATAATGCTGAAAGTTTGAACAGGCATAAAATCAGAACCTTATTGACATCTGCTTAAAGAAAGGAAATTCAGTTTTTACATGGAATTTGGATAAAATCCAGGGGAGTTATAAATTATTTAAGAAGAACACTGGACATCGGATAATACACCATCTCCCCGACTGATCGAGCCGAAAAATGTCCTTAATATGGCTCGATATTCGAGCAGTTTTCCCCTACGTTCGACTTTTTTATGTTTTTTTCGCCATATTCCAACTTCTTCTTCTTAATACTGCTAAATTTGGTATCAATTTGCGTTTTTATAGCCCATTTATGGTCACTTCTTCCAGTTCAATTTATTTTCTTTATTATATTACACTCCATGTCTCCAGTCTTGCTTCAATGCTGGAAAAGTTTTATTGCTCCTTTGTTTGACTACGTAATGTTTTAAAACCTTTTAATTAAAGTTTCATTCCAACAATTATAGCTACTATTTGTATTTATAAGGTTTTTCAAGCCTTTTGATATAAATCTAGACAAAGGAGGAAGAATCACAATGACCTGTTTTAATTAAAAGTTCATAAAACCTTTCGAAACATAGAAGTGAAAAATGCCAGAAATAGAGTTAATTAAGGAAGAATAATTAGAGATAAGAGCCACCGGACGTTCGGATTGTCTAGTTATAATTTTTAATTTAATCAATCATGAAGAATCGACAATTAAATCTTGTAACTAACAACGCAATAACAACAACATAATATTAGGTCACGTGGAAGCTCTAGAATTTCCTGACCCTGATCACAATAGACCAATATTGGTCTCTGTTCGTAAGGTAAAGGGCATTTTTCAACTTTCCTGATACTGATGGCGGTCCCAAAGTTTTTCCCTGCCCAATTTTAAAGGGAACCAGTTTGTCATTTGGAGCTTCTAGATTATGACAAAACAACGTTTAAATTATATATTTTTATAAGTAGGTGAAAAAAGAATGTACAAAAACTCTCTCAAAGTTTTATTTTATATGTTCGGTTCTAATTT